GAGAAAGGAAGCAAAGATGAAACCACCCCCCCAAATGGGCGACTTGGAATTGTAGCCCTAAAACACCCTCAGCCCTTTCCTTCACTTCCGTTCCGAAGCACAGCCCCTGGAAGCTGTTGAGTACGTTGCTGTGGGCTCTGAGGCTGCAGGTCCGGAGCTCGCAACAATGCCCAAAGAGAAGCAAAGCGCCCAAAACCCAACCTTGAGCCGAACGCCAAACTCCGAATCAGAGCCTGTCAATGCTGCTTTGCAGCACCCTTCCTGCATTCCTGAAAGGCTAAAATGTTTTGAACGTATTGGAATGTCACAATTCCCCCAAGCCGCTTTGTCAGCTGAATCTGGGAGTCCGGAGTCCGCCTATGCTGAAGCTTTGGGCTTTGGACAGGTTGCGACTTGCGAGCTAGCGGCGTCTACCAATCGAAACTTGAACAGCAGAGAGTTCGCTGACCTTCTGCCTTTTCACAAATCAACAAAAAACATACCGGTCACAATGAATGCCAATTCATCCGAGGAGCGAGTAGGCCGAACGATCCTTAGAGAGCTATAGGGCTCACAAGCTGAAGCGTTGTGTAGCCACGGCTTTCCAAACCGGAGGTCAAATTACTTTGGCTTCTGCTTGGCATCTCAAGAGTTTGTCCGCAGAACCAAGCATGGGAAAGACTTAGGGTGCATGCCCTCACGCAAAACCGACCATCGTTCTGCAAGCCCAGTACCAACTTCTACGAAGCCCAAGACTGTCCGAGCAGGGCTCCTTGTTGCCCACGCTCTCGCCGTGGCGCCTTGGTCGACACTCAAAATCTCGACATCCATGGGAGGATGTTGAAGCATTTTGAATTCTGAATGGTTTAGAGTTACAAGTGTAGAGGGTCCTAAAACAAATTATTGCATGAGCACAGTGCATTGGTCCTCCTTCAGAGGGTTGAGCCTGACCAGCTGAAACGGGCTGGTTCGACCCATATAAATGTCTTCGGGTGTTTCGGAGGGTGGGTGCAACTGAATAATTTGCTATCCACCCGAACCTCCTTTCCTCGGCCCTCCTGGCCTCCCTGCTACACTCACTCCTTCAAGCCAAACAACAACCGTGCAAGCTTCCTGCATGACATACAGTAGCACCTCACTGACCTGCCTGAGCCGTAAAGCATAACATCCGGATTGTGTGAGTCCCAGGTGAAAATGGACCGTACAAGTACTAGGTCTTGCTAGACCAGGCGGAAGACCGCAAATCTGTCAAACCCTGACTCCCTGATCCCTTGTAAACCTGCCAAATTCGAACTGTGGCCATGTCGCACGAGTATGATTCGCTTTGGGCGCATACGGTCTCGCAAGAGCCGCCGCTTGGCCTCAAGCATTGCTTCGAAAGTTTCGGATATCTGGTTCAGGGACTTACTATGGTATTTCGATGGGCAATCCATCGGCTCCAGGGGCCCTGGTGATGCCCTATAGGGTGCGAGTGCCTTAACGTGTTGAGGCATTGCTTCGTGCAGATCTGTACGTTCTTTAACAGGGCGTGGAAGGAGACCCACGGGCTCTCAAACCTCATTGCTGCATGCCCGTACAGTCCATGCCGCTTGCTCAAACGAGGCTGCAATTCAATAAGCCATCAAGGGAATCATTGCTGCCCCCTCCCCACTCCACCCTGCTTTCTCTCTGGCTCGTGGCGTCATCAGGGCGGTTGGGGAGGCCCCATAAATGGTGATTGTTCACGAACGCCCTCGGCAACACCAAAGACCCAAACTCCCTGGAAAGTGCCCAAGTCCAGGGAGCCAGGAGCATGGGCAACAGCTCCTCCAAAAGGTGCTCAAGGTCGTCGGAGTCGAGGTGGCCTCGGAAGAGGCTCTCACCAAGGGCTTTAAAGCTTCAGGGCAGCACAGGAGGCATCGATGTTCGATATTCGGACTCCTACACTGACACCTAAAGCTTAAGCCCAGCGAAGGCTTAAAACCACTAGACCTCACAAGAACCCAAGAAATCTAAATCCGCACATGCAATGCCAACAAGAGTTGCCCAGTGACCAACTTGGTCCAGAATGCTGGCAACATCGCTCGACCTCAGGGTACTGCCGACGCAGGGCACTAGCAGCGGCGGGTTTATCACCCACTCTCGGACACAGCCAGGCGAGGCATTCCATGGTTCATCAACGCAAGCCAGCAGCATGGTGCTGACGACGCTAGCTACAGCGGTTTTCTGCAGCACCATCTCCGAAGAGCGAATATCGCTTTTGTTTGCCACCCGTCTAGCCATGATATTCGTGTTAGGGTTAAGGCTTAGGATTTCGGGATTTGGGCTTCCTAACCGTGTCGTCACATGGCCTCCTTCATTGATAAATCTCCGACGTGCGGCTTTCGATGCTGTCGATGCTTTCGGCCATATCGGCCATCATTCGCTCTTGCCATCTCTTGCGAAGAGGTTCTAGGATTTTTCTTCAGGAGTCTTGGCGATCGGTATACTTTCAGCCAGGGTGCGGATTGATTGCCGTCAGCGCGGTGTGGTGCACGGGCGATGCCGAGCGAAACGGCACAAAGGAGATGGGCCTGGGCTGAGAAGTTAAGCGTCCCGAACTTGTTGGGCAACCGGTGACGCAGGAACTTGTTTCCGCAGTCACGGCTGAAGAAAACCCCATGGTAGCAACTCAGCACTCAATGGTGTTGAATGGCTTTGAACCTTGAACCTCAGCTTCGAGGTCCTGGCCGGAACAGCGCGGAAAAGGGTGCGGAAAGAAGCAGCACCTCCAGAAGTGTCAGCGCTCCACTACAGTGTGGCTTGGCAAGAGGAGTAGCACTCATGCGCGTACTTCTATTGTAGTCTGGGAGGGGGGGAGGAACTGGGTTGAAAAGGACACCAGGTGAAAACTCAGGCAGTCCGACTCGAAACCCCGAACTCAACCCATACAAGGTCCTTTCTGAATGTCTCTTGTTGTGGCCTCACAGCAAACCCTCAAGCCAACCTTCAATCCCTGCAGCCATACTTAACTCCTCGACATCTTTCTATTCTTTGTCAACACATACTGCTGCGACCGCGCATGTGTGCACGCGCGTGAACGCGCTGGCGTTGTCCTCCTGGGTAGGTCTTTAGCCACTGCAGGCCACAAAAAAGGACATTGCATTTGGCATTAGTATGGTCACAAACTGGGCAGCCAGTCTTCTGCACACTTCTTGAATCAGGGCCCATCCCAAGGGACATGGCCGCGGGCCAAGCGGTGTCTACCTCACTGTTACTCACTCACTCAAGCCACTGAAAAGCGTTCTGCTTCTGGACCTTGTAATACTTGGTGAACTGGACTCTCGCAAGCCCATAGATCCTGAACCCTATGCCCTGCGAGTTCTGGGCCCCCTGCGCTTCTCCATGAGCCGATCAGGCCCGACCGCACCATTGGGGAGAGGGCTTTGAGGCTGCTGGGGCCTGCAGGCGTCTAGGGACTTGGGGCCTACAGGGCTGTAGGATGATGTAGGGTTCCGTGGCCTTAGAGTCGGATTGTTCTTGTCATGGTTCAAGAGGCTGTGCCCCTGTTGGGCTCCTTTCTCTTTTTGTTTTTTTGACGGGCTGAAGGCTTGGGCTGTGATGGCTTGGGATGGCTTGGGGTAGCATGAAGCAGCGGCTTCGGATTGGCCGAAGCAAGCGGCTCTCAGGTTCTGGGATGCTCCGGCCGAAATGGTTGCGAAGACAACGGTCGCAGCATGAAGGTTGCAGAGTCTCAATGGCAACTGATCAAGAATTGTATCCTACGTTGGTTGCTTGCAGTGTGTTTCGGGACGTGCTTCAACTCTTGATCTACTGCTGAGTGCTAATGGCCCAGTGTATCCGCAGACTCCCTGGCAAGAATGGCTTCCTACTCCAGCACGAAGGGAACTCCCACCTCGCACACAAACAAACAAAGAACTGGCACTGAGATGTACAAGAGACCACCCCCACACCGGCAACTCTGCAAGCAGCAACCTTTGTCAAGAACCATGACCTGAACGCAACAGGCATTCTCAAGTCAGATCTCCCCCATGTCACGAACGCGGTCTGAAACGCGTTGAGGTGGGGCTGCCGCTGTCTTTTTTCAGGTGATGTTGAAAATCCCCACCTTGAGATCCCGAACTTGAGCAAGAACCGCCGAACTTTTCGCAGAGTGCAACATGTCAGGCCGAGCACTCACCGGACTGAAGCACCAGACTCAGACCCTCGTCCAGCTCGACTCGGCTCCGAGGTCCTGAAGTCGCCAAGTGCCTCCTCACGCAGCGCTGCTTAAGGTCGTCTGTGATGTGCTACGCTCGAGGTCTTTGGGGTGCGACTGACAATACAGGATTCGTGCATGCGAATATGCCAAGTCTGTACTCTGCAAGCCCTCGAATCTTGCAGGACTCGAACTGATGACCGGGGCCTTCAAGCAGCTGATGCTGTCCATCCGGAGATGCGGACCCTTACACAGATCTTTGTGTGCCCACTTTTCTCCGGAGGTCGATCCTCGATCCACAGTCTGCGAATCATGTCCTCACGTCCTTCCGGCGGCCTCTACAGTCTTTGGAGACCTCAAGCTTTCAGTCGTCTCCGGCTTTTTTACACGAAGCTTTTTTGCCTACGTTCAGCTTCGGCCTGCAGCAAAGGCTGCCGGCGCTCAATGCTTCAGAGGGTATCGCCACTTGACCTCGCACACGGGTTGGGGGTCCGCGAGAAGGGAGCGTTGGCTCTGGACAGGTGGGGGCCCGGAACTGAACCTGCAACCTTGCGCCATGTCGCACACACCCAGCCAAGACCACCCTGAACGAATTAGACGAACACCCCGCGGCAGTGCAAGAGCTTCATCATCTGGCACTTGTAAAACTCCAAACAATTCCAACTATCTAAACTTTCAAAGATCCTCGTGAAATCAATTCGGATGTAGGCCCATGCAGACCCCGTATCATTTATAGTGGCTTGTGGCAGGGGTCGCTGCGCCCAGAATCTTGCAGGGCCCAGCGTCCACAAGGGTTAATCCACAAAGAGCCAACAGAGAGGAGAGAGAGAGAGAGAGAGAATTGTCAAGAAATGCTGTGCTTCGGTCGAGCTGCAGGCATCGGAGGCTGCTTGCCCCTCGGCTCAGCCAAAGATGTGTTCCAAGCCATGCTTTTCAGGCCGAAGCCACATGGATGACATGCCAGCACCCAAGTCAGACCAACAATCTTGGAATCTTCTTTAGGATGGGATGTTCTTCCGACTATGAGATGGAGTCTAGGCCTCTGCGCTCACAATCCCGGAGCAAAGCAAGTGTAGAAGTTTCCCTAAACACCGCCTCCCAATCATGCCCGGCATCCCGAACTTTCCCAACTCTGGGATACACAGATTAAACTTCCCAAGATCGCTTTTCAGAGCTGTTAGCCATGTTGACACTCTGGTGGTACGATATATTGACGAACATGTTTTTCCTAGTCGCAGCTCCAGGATCGGCCCAGTTACGGGATGGGGCGCAGCTGCTTCGGGTCGGCATCATGGTACCAAACGCAGCCGTGGCAAGTCGTGTCCTGGAGAGGATTCGAGGGGCATGGAGTTGCGACTCGTGTTGAATGTAGGGTCTTTGAGGCATCACCAGCTAAGAACATTCTTGCGCAGCTACGAACATTCTTGCGATGAGAGCCTCGAACTTCTCCACGAAGGTGGTGATAAGCTTACCTGCAAATCACAAAATCCAATTCAAAGTGCTGCGAGCACATTGCTTCGTAGTCAACCCAAGCCCACACAAAGGCATGGAACAGCTTAGACATATCGTTTTCAGACAAAGCATTACGCAAAGTGTCGCGCGAGAAGATAAGGAGGCACGGAGCCTTCATGGCGGGACAGTGGCTTATGGCTTATGGGGTGCTCTCGAAGTGACGGTCTTTGTCGGGCACGTGGTCGTTGTAGTGCTCCTGTCCGCACCATGTGACACCAAACCGACAAAATGTACCTGACAGAGCTTCGGACTTCAGGGTAGAAAATCTGAGTTGCAGTCCCTATCGGTTGCAAGGCCCGACTTCTTGGATCTTCGCGGTCCTGGTTTAGGGTTGAGGGTGGGGTTTTAGGGTTCAGGTTTGAGGGTGAACCAGCCTTAATCCCTGGATGTCCTTGTGGTTGTGTTCGAAGGCGGCGCTCATCTTCTCCGATTTCCTTGCCAGGTTGGATCGTGAACTACGGAATTGTTTCCTGTACATGGGAGCAGTCAAGGGTTCCGATTTAAGGCTAAGGCCAGCCCCATAAGAGGATGGACAGACTTTGTGAGCCCTGCCCGAAGCATCCCCTCGACAAAGCCAAACCTGTGAAAAGCTTCTTAGAGTGAAGCCATGTGGCCTTTCGGGCTCGTCAGCCTTGCGGGGGGCAAGCCAGTGCTGGGAGACCTCCTCCCATGGGTACCTCGCATCAGAAGCCGGCTCACCAGCACTCTACCTTTTGATCCGCATCCTGTTGCGGCTTTTGCTTTCAGACGTTGAAGGGGGGATTTTGGGACTCCGATACTCCAAGGCCTCCACAAGACACTAACATCCAAGAACCCAAAGTCAGATTGAGGCACACATTCCAGCCGCGGGCATACAAGGCGACCAGCCTCAGCAAAGATTCATGCCCTTTGCTTTGAAGGGTTCTAATTGCAGGCTTGGTGTCGATTTGGAGCAGTGTTGTGAGCGAGGGTTTGGGGTTGGGATAGTAGCTTGCGGACATCTCTGACATCGGCCCAGCCGCATGGCGAAGTCGCTGCTCATGGTCTTGTCCCCCTCACGCTTCTCCATGCCTAGCGCATCCACACATCGGCCGTCGGACGGTGTCGGTGCCAGTGTCGGTGCCAGTGTCATTTCATCAGCATAAATCAATCCCGAAAACCACATCCTGCGCCACCTCACCCGAATGCTTCCCTGAAAGGATCTTGTTCAGTGGCTTAAGCTAGTCCTGCAATTATTCCCGGTTTGAACGGATAAAGCCTCATGAGGCCCAGCCCATGCCCACGCCCATGCCCCATAGCCATAGAATCTGGCAAAGCCAACTTCCGCGCACACCTTCGAAGTCAATGCGACGAACCCACCTGGGCACTGGACGGATAGGTTTGGGAGCTTCCAAGTTCGGGCCCAGTTCGGACACAAATCCAGGCTTAGCGGACCTACACCGATACGCCGATACGCCAGTAGCAAATGCCGGCTTCCAGACGCTGAGCGTGCGCCCATTGCATGTGCTGGGGAAGTGTCTGCCCCCTTTTGCATCCAGGCGGCCGCTTCTACAACAGTAAACCCTTGTACCAGATTCAGTCTTGAAATGGCATGATCCCTCAACTGTTCGAAGTCGCAAAACGCCGGCTGCTGATCAAGTGGCTTCGGGTCGAAGGCATCCAAGATCGCCTCGGCCTGTCTTGTGGGTAAGTGGTCAGGAAGTGCCCTGAGACTTTTGGGTGACCTAGAGGCTCATGTGCGCTTAAGACTGGTGTTCTAAAAGATCCAGGTCTTCTGAAGGGGCTCGCGCCTTGTAGTAGGATCCGCCACTAAGGCCGAAGTGGATCCATGACACCTTCACAAGGCTACAGGCAAGCGTAGAAGCAGCTCTCAATCCATTGGGTCCACACCGAGTTCGGGCTTTGAATGTAGATCCCAGCTCGCTCAAGCTATGAGATGGGCCCCAGACCTAGAGGAAACAGGCCAGGCAGCGCATAGCAAAGTTTTTACACGTCCCGCACTGCTGCTCACACAGCCAGGGCGCATTGAAGTGCGGATCTCGCTCGCGGCCCATCTTCTCCAGGTACTGGATGGTGTCCTACAAGGAAAAACCCAAAAAACTGGAGGCATCCACCCATGCATTGCCACGGCTCAGTTGGAGATTTCTTAGCAAAATGTGAGAGTTAAGACTACAAACTTAAAATCTCCCCGGCCGTGTCGTCCCAAGACGGCTCAGACCAAGACGTACAGCCCACCGCTGAGAGCGACCAAGGCTACTACCCTGAAGCGCCCTGAGGGAATCGATTGACAGCATCATCTTCGAAATCATCTGCGACCTAGGCCTGGGTGCATCATTAAAGGATGTTGAAGGTAGTCCACCTTGGGGACAGGAAACGCATAGCACGATCTGAAGCTTCTACTCTCATCGCCACCATTGATTCAAGGCATAAACCGTTCCAGCAAACCCTGGCAGCATGAGGCTGTACTCACGTGAGCTCGGGGAAGCACAGCGCAGAACCCGGTCCGGGTGCATGTGCGGGTTGAAGTCATCAAAGATGCCCCCCGCATCATTCTTAGGCTCGATGGAGTGGTGCTTCCTGGCAGCTAGAATCTCAGACCTTCGAGCTGAGACTGCGGAATGGTGGGAGGCGAATTCCCTTGCCCAAACCAGGCATCACCCTGTACCCACACACTTTGAGCAAACGCCAAGCTGTTGCGGGGTTTCATGGTGTAGTTCGGGATCTCGCGCTTGGGGTTTAAGATCCCTACGTCCCGAAATAGCTCCAACCCCTGAGCCCTGGCCCAGCCTAACCAGCACGTCTGGCTCCAGGTAAATCACGTACTCCTAGGCCACTTGCCACAGAATAACACTGCTTCTTTCAAGGCTCCAGGCCCCGGAGAATCCTGCAGCAGCCGTGCCAAAAACCCTGTAGCTGTGAACCCTCAACCCCAAACCCTAAACCGTTTTGAGCCCGAAGTCCTGAAACCCTGACCTCTAAACCGGCCGCGGGGCAGTTCCCAGGGCCTTGGTCGCCTGGCGGAAGCGCGCGAACCAGCTGTGAGGGTTCCTGACGCAAGGCCAGAGCTTTGCTTGGCAACATAAATGGAAGCTTCTGCTATCTTCTGCTTTCTGTTTTTGGAGGACGAAAAGGTCGGTTAAAGTCTGCAGAATTCGGTTCTTAGTCTCGTCAGTGCCTTCAGCAGTCATGGTTGATTTGAAATCAAGGCTGAGGTTGGGCCTGTCGGTCTTTTCAAAGTTCATGCCACAATGCCAAGGAGATGCACAGCTGCACAACAACTTTTCCACCGAGAAGGCTGAACTACCAAGGAACCCACATGTCAAAAAGAGCTTGAGCTCCGCTCTGTCTTGTGTGCTAAGTCGCAGCTTTCTACTAACACCCCGGCACTTACGTACGATGCTAGTGCCACTTACTAAACCTCTAGCGTCTTCTGGTTCAATATGGATTCGTGGGCATGCAAGGTCTTGGTGAACGAACGGTAGCGGACGTGGTGCAGTAATTCAGGAACAGCCTAGATTCTTCACATGCCCACAATGGCTTGCAACTCGTCTGCATCTTCTTGCTCCCCTCTGGTGCTGGCGAGCTTCCATCGGCTGTTCTCCCCTTTAACGCGCTCGAAGATGCAGTTGTACCTTGCGTTGGTCGCACGGATCACAACTACTGCAGTATACCCGAGAGGCGCCTTGGAAGTGCCGAATACTGGGCCACTTCTGGCAGCTTTGGGTGGACCCCACACCAGTCCCATCTTAACCCATCCTCAGATTACAAAGGAACCCCAAGACACCCTCGAAGTCCAAAACTCACTCGCACACAAAGTCCAGCGACTCCTTGCTTTTGCACAACGGGCCGAAGTCCACGTTGCCGCCATCCTCGCTGCAAGCATCTGGTATACATATACATCTTCGAGCTTCAACCGCAAACTTACACCTCTGTTTACTCTCATTAAGGTGGGGTGGGGGGTCTCTTTATGGAGCAGCTTTTGAAACAGTTTCGCCTCACTTCGCCATCTCCAGATACAAAAAAAACACACAGATTGAAGAACACTTAGAAACATAAATAAGCATGTACAAGTACTTCTTGTATACGACATATGTCATATTCGTACCTGTACGTACCGCTGTATTCGCAAGGAGCCCGTGGGGTACAAAAAAAAACAAGTAGATTCGGACTCATCAAGGAGTCCTTTTGAATGGGCTCCCACTGGAAGGGAAGCCTTTGGTCTTCGAATGTCTTCGAGCGAACGGACAAAAAAACGTATTTTGAAACATTTGAACTTGATGCTAAAAACCAGCGCTAGACCGTTAGACTGTTAGACCTTCCGCAGTTTCCTCTCCCAGGTGTCACCTCGGGAGCATGCTCCTTTCACAGGCATCAAACATACTAATACTTCTAAATTTTCCACCGCCCGGCCTGCAGCACATAGATCGGAGAGTTTGGGTAAAATCGGCGCACCTCACCCGAGGAAGCTCTGCCAGGCTGCGAACGCGTGTGGGCCTAGACTCTACAGACTATGGATTTCCTGCAACCACGTAGAGCCGGGAAAGCATCAAGCCGCCTAGGCCCTGAAATCGAAGAGCAAGCAGGGTAGCAGCGTAGAATGTCATCGATCGAGCTCCCCGCCACCCACCCCCCCCCTCCCAACCGTCTAGGGAACTTGGAATCCCAAGAAGTCAACGCCTCCAGTGCCCCAAACGCCCACCCGAAATGGTGCTGCAGGCACGGATTGCAAGACGTTGAGTGTAGACGGGATCTGGCTGTGCACAGGGAAGTAGAAGCCGAACTTGTCCTTCGCTGCAGACCTGCCGTCGTGTTGCTTTTCTGTGATGCTCGATTATCTGATGTGTATCTGACGATTTCTCGGCATGTTGCGGGCTGAGATCTCGCAAGGGTGGGGGGCGTTCTTCGGACTCATGCACTGCTCTGCTGGTTCGCACGTCTTGTGAGTGATCCTGCGTGTCAGACAGACTTTTTCACGGGTTATTGATAGACAGGGGCTCTCTTTCCGAAGAAGAGAATGGTGTCGAATGCTATTCGGTGGCCTGCCTTAGCCTGTTTGCAGATGCCACAGAGGTGGCTACAAGCAGCCGTAGAATCACCTCGGTGCAAGTGGAGAGCGGCGGGCAGATCTATCGATTTGTGAGTGTCAGGCGAAGCAGCTATGCTAATGTCCCCTGTATCGTTCCAACCCTACCGGATGGCGTGGGTTTTAAGGTGCAGGGCAGTGTAGGGTGTGCGTGCAGCACTTACGAACAAAACTGTTTCGCGCGATCTTCGAAGTCCTTTCCCAGGAGCCTCGCTTTTTTTCTGCGCATGTTGTCGTCTGACACTTCTCCAGCCCTGAACTGTTACAGAAATTTGCGCCTGCACCCAAGCCCCATGACCAGGCAACACTAATTAGGCTAATATGCTCGATCAGCCACCTGATGGGGAGAATAGCACGCGCAAGGAAGTTGACTTTGAAACATGCGGCTTGCAACTTCCAGGCTCTGCCAGGGCAAGCTGCAATGAAGGGGGCATTTCGGTACATCGCTGGTCAACCCCAAGCGCCCTGACTGGCTTCAATCAAAGGTGCTGGGCCCTGGCCTGCAGGTACGAATGAGTAGGTAAACTCAAGCCTCTGGCCACACAAACTGCGTAGCTGCATAAGCGAATTCACATCTGCTGGGCGAGGCCTGACGGCTGCGTGCATGTTTGGGACATTCAGCCTTGTGTAAGGCTTTGCAGGACTGCGCACTCTGATGGAGCCGCCAATTCAATACGTCACAACGCGTCAGAACTCAACCAAGAACCATCAGATACTGAGTCAATGCTGACGTAAACTGAAACACCGCATCCCTTTGAGCAACAACTTAAAGCTGAAGAGGCAAAACTCACCCGCCTTCCCAAAGGCTCGGGCCGGAAGGCCATCGCTGAACTAGGGCCTCCACCGTAGATCCACAATCTTTTGAGGGGCGTCAGGGCTCGTTTAGGATTATACGGCCGGCCTTGGATGCTCACACACATTTAGGGACGATGTCTCTCTCTCTCTCTCTCTCACTTTTTTCGGAGTAAGCCGCCAACCTCAGCTGAGGCCTCACCCATGGCTACAGTACTTGAGATCTTCATGTCGACCCTGCCTCCCCCTTAGCATTGGCCGGCTGCGTGCTGCATCGTGCAAAAAAACGGTGCGTAAAACTCGTCCATTGCAGGTTCATGGGACGTCTATCGAGTACACAGCTGCTTTCTTTGGGTGGACATTCTCAAGATAGCTTCTCCTCAGAAGAAAAGACAAGCCTCGCAGCTTAGGAGCTGGAAGCGTGCGGTTTTGCATGGAGTGCGGCTCGGGAGCGAGAAACCGGATTTGGACAGGTGGACGGCGGGTTTGAACAGGTGGAGTGGGAGGCCCGTGGGTGTGGCCGTGGGGGCCCGGGGGTTTGGACAGTTTTCCATACTGCTTGGGGTCTTCGGCGGCACTAACTGTAATCTCTAACTTTTTCGTCAAATCCCTCGGCCCCGCTTCACTCCGAACTGCCAATCGCACAGGGATACGAAACTTCGGACCATGGCACACAGCCTGCCACCTCTCTCTCCTGCTCCCTCTGCCCGACTAAGCCGCCGGTCATGGACTGATCCAAAGCTCTTGGAAATGCACCCTACACATATCCTAAACATCCCTAAACCGACTCACTAATAGGCCTGCCGCGGCAGCCCTGAAACCAGACATTGGAGCAGAATTGGGAGCCGGTCGGGGCCCGGCAGCGGTACCTGGGCCACTCTCCCCACTGTCTTCTCCACTGGCCTCTCTATAATAGTCTATACTAGGCTTTTTAAAGTGCCATTTTAGTGCCATCTCGGCCCCTCTCCTGAAGACTTTTTGACTTGCTTTCCGCTTCTGTGGTTTGATTCAACAGGTGAAAGCCTCGATCGCGATTTGCAGGGTGTGTGTGTGTGTGAGAGTGCCAGTGTCGGAGACTGTAACTGTCAGTGTCAGTGTCAGGCTTGGAAGGGTGGGTTGCACTGGAGCGTTGGGCTTCCTTGTGGTGGTTTTGGCTTCTTTCGGAGTTCAAGTCCAATTCCGTGAGGGCGAGAGGTCCAGAGTCGATTGTTTTGGTTCTTTCTGGGCGCTTGTACGGCTGAGTTCAGGGACTCCAAATGCAGCCAAAGGGCTTGTAGCAAAGAAGGTTTGTGCTGAGACATCCAGAGCAGTGAATGGGTAGGAACTTCCTTGGCGCACGGAAGTTTAAACGCTGATGGCCCCCGTTTTGTGCTTGCGTCTTCCACTGCCCCGACCTTCCTTCCGCAACAAGCTAAGCCACAAGGTACCCGGAAAAGCATGCGAGTTCACAACAGTCGCATTGGTTTGTCAAGCAGAGTCGTTCACATGCCATCGCAATTCGGGCAAGCAGACCCGCTATCCTCAAATGCAACCTTTTCAGCCCCTCCAGCATCCGAAGCAATCTGCATTCTCACACAGTCCACAGTGATCACAAGGAATATCAACCACGCAGAAACGCGTCAAGACAGCGCATGGAGAAGCACATCACCGACAGCAGGAACTTGTGCATTTCCCGTCGCCGAAGCCCCAACAGCACAAGCCAAATCCTTGAAATGCCACCGCAAGGAAACTACAAGCTTTAAGTGTTGCACCAACATCCTGCTTGAAATTTCCAGTTCCTTTTGCCCTTACCCTTCAACCTCTGACCCGCAACCAGCTTCGATGACTCCGGTGCCATCTCGGCAGTGACATTTGCCTCCTGGCTGTGCCAGGCTGCCACGTTAAGGGTCGGAACTTGCAGGTTGGGTTTTTTTTTGGGATTGCTGTGGTTGGGATTGATTTGGGAATGGGGGGGCCATGAACGGCCTAGTAACAAAATGCACACGCGTCGGCCGCTTTTGCCAGAACATGTCTGAACAACCCTCGTGGATCGAGCCGTAACCCGGTCGACCCGCAAAATGGAAATATGGTTTGCATCAGTCTAGAATTGATGCTGGACCTCATACCTATATTCGAGCGACCGCAGCTTGGCTGAAGTTCCGTGTGCGAAGAGGCGCACTACGATCGGCCCTTGCAAAGTTACCGCCTGCCGCTTGCTAGCATCTGCCTTATTGGGCAGCAAACATGTATAAGCATGTCAGGAAAGCCCTCAACACCTAACCCAACAAGCCCGAGGCCAAAAAATCTCAACTCACTGTCAAGATTTGATTCCATGCACCAGGGATGAAGACAAAAAAACAACCGGTGCCTGCTGTACTAAAGTACATAATATAGCGTGGACCACCTCAATTCAACTTCTTAGACCCATCCCTCCCATGTCCTGTCCAGAGCTACCACGCAAGTGCGTCACTTGCTCGCCTGAGGCTTTTGTTGCTTAATGCTGGGGCCTTGCGCTGTCTTTTCACCAATTTCACAAGGAAGATTTCTTGGCAGGTTGGAACTCGGACCTGCAAAGTACATGCCAGAATCCCTCACTCCATATTCTCGTCCAGCTGCTGACTGGTTGAAAGCCGTGCTCTGCTGTTACGGCGGAGCCTGCATTGCAGCAGAAATGAAATGGAGTGCTCTGAGCACTATAGCCTCGAAACACCTCTTTCAATAAACTTTCAACCCTACCAAACCCCTGAGCAAAAAAACCAAACCCAAACGAACCAGCCCTTCAGCCCGCCCAAGCCGAGATCAGAAGCCTACCTGCAAGACCTAGACACAAACCCTAACGAAACCGTATGTTCCTTGTGCCCATGTGCTCAGTGCTGGCAACAACACGAACGAACTCATGCTGGCAAACTTCGACTTGTACGTACTGGGTAGGGAGGTTGTAAGGCTACTTGGTCCGAGAAAGTTTTCGGCGAATCGCAACGAGGTGGCCACCAAATGTACCAAATCCCCAATCACCAAACTCCAGGTTCGGCATTTGCGGCAGGTGCTTGCTATAGCTTTGGTGTTGGCTTACCGGGGTGTGAATGCTGTCAAAACCTGCAGTCTCACTTTCAACACCGTAATCCTTAGTGACTTAGTGAGCCTTCACAAGGGCCCCCCCCCCCACCCCTCTCCATTACACCATAAGCCTAAGCCTAGGTAAAGCAGAAGCGAGTGTGCCGGTGGAGAGGCCAGGGCAACCGGAATTGTTAAGTCGGAAACAAACTCAAGTAACTCAAGGATCATCTTCCCAAGTTTGGAGAGCACGCCCCCACCTGCCAGGCTGGTGGCGTTCGGCGCTGAACGCGTCTCTTTCCTGGCTGCAGCTTCACTTCTTGACCCTCGTTTGTCGGAGCAGGCAGGAACCGAACTCTACTAGCACCACATGAAGCTCCGCTTGCAGTTCCGCATGACGTTCTACATGTTCCAATTCTGGCCCAGGCTCTGCCTGGGTTCGCCGGCCTGTCCAGGCGCTGTTCCCGTGGCTCTGCATTCGCACTCCCACGTGGCATGAGAAAACCTTTGCTTCCTTCGGTGTATACGTACATCTCTTGGAATCAGACTCTAGACGATCTCTGCAACGCACATGGCCGGCTGCTTTACGCTGCAGTGGCGTGCCGACTGGTGTGCTATCGGTGACGCACTTTAATCCTCACACTTCCGGCCAGCCTCTTCTGCACGGAGGATGAGCAAGCCGCCAAGCAGCCAAAGCAGTTTGAGACCAGCCATGGCGTCAATCCCCGCGAGTTATCGCTCTCAACTTGTTGAGCGCCCAGTTCAATCCTGGCTTTGCAACTTTGGTCCAAAATACCGCGGAACGAGCCTCCAACACCTCCAACGCTTCCAAGACTCATCATAAGTTGAAAGTGCATCGGTTAGCCTAAATTTCTTGCTTTCGCAACTCAGCCATCGTTTGGCATCCTACTTGTGGGTAAGCGTCCGCAACCTTCTGCAGAGCAGTCTTGGTGATCACTTGCTGTGGACGGTGCAGGGTAGAATTGCTAAACTGCAGCGCGCAGATGAACACCCCCCGATCTCATTTCCACCCGAAAGAGCCCCAGCAAGACTTTGCAGTTCGATGAGGCTTCAAGATGGGAGTTTTTCAAGCCCCGCCGATGTCCACAAAGGTTTGACGCTCTCGAAAATAAGTTCAGTCCCCATCAAAGTGCTGAGATCCAGGCGCTGCTGAGCCTCAGTTCAGCTGGCTCGGTCGCTGTCAGATGTGGAGAGCCCCCAGGTGTGCTCAGAATCCAAAGCAGGCTTTTTAGGACAACAACAAAAACGCAGTTCAGCACCCAAACCTGGAAAGAATGGCTTTCGCTTGTCATCACAATCGAAGTGGGTTGCTGCGACATGGGCAGCGCCACCTCCAATATATGCCGGGACAAGATCAACCCGTAAGTGAACGCTCAAGAAGCATTTCTGCAATCCCGCGCTCTTCGGCGTCGTTGCCAGCGCATTTTTGCGTTTGGACACAATAAGGCCACCTATAGCCACTCGATGACCGAATCCAAGCCTACGACCTCAACGAAGTGCCAAAATCGATATTATCGCATTTTGCACCTGGGAATGCTGGTGCTTTCGGTTGGGCTCAGCTTGCTTGCCAGGGCAGTCCAGACATACAAACTGCAAGCCGAGAAGCTGCATTGCCGGATTGGTTGGGTCGGGTGGCTCAGACACGTCCGATCGGTCCGAGTCTTTCTTGAGCCGGAACCCTTTGGTCACATACACAGTTCAAACTCTGCTGCACATGTGACCTCTCGTGCAGAATTTGTTATAGTATTTAAGTATAATCTCTTCTTACAAGTTTGTAAGAGAGTAGGTGCCCAGGACAGGGAGGAAGGAGAAGGAAACAGGGAAATCATGAATCATTGCGACAGTGCCTCTTCAATACATTATACCGAAATATTTCGACATAACTGACGGCATACTGGTATCGGAGCATAATACCGCATACACCAACATGAGATGCCGAAATGTAGCAAACCAAATCACAGAAAGGATGAACAAGAAGAGCAAATACGAGGTACAAGTAGACAGATCTTAATTGACGGACAGCGGATGAAACAGCCGAGGGTCCATAAGAACAGGACATGGCAAGTTAGGAGCGCAAACAACATTACAGAACATCGCAAATGATTAAGATAAGCTTATGCTTTTTGAAGCGGTTGGTGATAATAACTTCATATACTCATACCGCGCCACCTGCGCCGAGGAAAGCATCAGCATTCACGAATGGGGATTGCCAATAGCAAGTAGAGAATGGACATGGACAAGTATAACTCGTTGTGTTGATTTCAAAAAGCCAGGCTGTGTAAACATGAAGAATTTGCTAAACAAATGACAAAGAAACATGATCATGATATATGTTAGAAACAATAGGTGGAGAACTACAAATTGCAGTATAGGAAAGCAGGGAGTGAGATAAATGAAGAAGAACACATAACTACCGAATGGTGCTTGAGCAGATTTAAGAGCAGGCAGTCCTCCTCTTCGAGCTAGTCAGGCAGCGGCAGGAAATTCCGCATGTACCTGTCTCCAGTGCCACTGGCAAGGACCAGTCTTCTGGTTCTTTGACAAGAGGTAAACCGGGTGAACTGGGTAAACTTGAGACCTCGCTTCCACCGGATGAACTGGGTAATCTTGAGACCTCGCTTCCACTGTTTCAAGGGGCCCCTGCCCGCCGCATTGCGAGTTCTGGGTGCAGGGCCCCGAGTTTTGGGAACAGCCCCGCTCCCGCCGTTCCTCATCGTTGCATGCTAGACTCTTGGCACATAAAGCCCTTTGCCTTGACGTTGCAAAGGTGCTTAGGATGCAGCAGTGCAAGATCTGTGTCATTGGACGATCATTTCAGAAACTAGACATGTGGAACCCGGCTCTTGGCAGGCTCAGAGTTTCGGGCGATAGTCAAACTTTAGTCACGATTGGATCGAAAATGATATTTACTGATTATGCTTTCCTGTTTGCCAGGCCACTCATCGTAGATGACCCACAAAGTTGGAATCAGAGTTTCAGCAGGCTCCACCTGCACACAAGAGCTGCGAGTCTCAGACAAGCAGCTGCTTTGCAATCTCACTGTACGGGTGTGCTGGGAACCGGTATTTAGCCTCGGCCTCTTTCCCGTGTCAGCCATCCAGTTGTGGTGGCTTAACTCAATCCTGAAAGCGACCACCCCTACATCAGGCATCCAGACAACTGCCGAGAGAACCTTCCAAGTCCTGTGTTACTAATTACAGCGTCACCCATCGAAACCAGTGTTCCGAAGTTGGCAGCATAGAGCCCGGATTTCAGGAGACCGGACGGGCGGGGAGGCCGCATGCATCCAAGGCCTCAACCCATGGACGCTTCTTTTCGTCGCTGCTGCACCTAGGTTGGTCAGGATGTAGAGTTGGCTATAGGAGTATGGGAAGTACGCCGGGCAACCGCCGAGAGCAACGTCCTTCTTATGCCATGAATGACCGGAATCAAGCCTACTAAGCTGTGGGATGTATTTTTATACTACGTACGTTGCCTCAGGTGTCAATCTAATGACTAAACACGGAGCCACGGAGCGCGAACTTGCGATCCACGGATGCAAAATCTGTAGTGACGACTGTGGGTACCTACTTGTTCTTGACCAACCGGCACTGCCCCAAAAAACATCTCGCTGACTAGGGCAGGGCTGCTAGTTGGCAAGGCGAAGCTCCCCAAATAAACAACATCCCGAGGCGAGATGGGGCGAGACGAGACCAAGGAGACCAAGGAGACCAAGGAGACCAAGGCACCAGGTCCTGTCAAAGGCCAGGCCGGGCTCCTGCTCACGATGACCTCATGTGCAGCTCTGCGCCTAAGCAGCTATGTAACCATTTTTGAAAATCTGGTACGGGTGGTTCTACGGTTTAGAAAGGCCTAGAAGCCCTCTGATACGTACAAACTCTCTAGAGACTGCCTTGCCTTCTCAAAGTTTGCTTTCAGCTCCTCAACTGAAGGACCGATGGACCGATATCGCTCCTTTCTCCTCCTTTCGCTGTTGCAGTCACGCGTAGTGCGAGCACTCAGCGGTTCGCCTTGGCCACGCGCTCGATTTCGTCCTGCGGCAGTCAGAAGGTGCCCCAAGGCTTGCAAGGGCGTTAGAACGTGTTAAAGGTTTTCAAGAGACTTGCCAAGCAGAATATTTAGTGAAGCTGAGAAATCTTTGAAACTGCACAAGGATGAAGGGAACAGGGCTGAGAGGTTTCGGCGCTCACGCCACGGGCATGCAGAATGAGATCTCATCGCTGTCGCGCATATATATATATATACATATATATATATATATATGTGTACATGGTAAAACCCCCCCCCTCCGGTACCTAGGTCTCCTTTGTTCCCGGCCTCAGATAAGTTGCCTGTTGGCCCTATGGTACACGGGGAGGAAAGCAACCTCCTCCTAGGCTACCATCCACTTTGGGATGCTACCAGAGGTTGTACCTCAGGAGAGAGGATTGAACCTCCTGGCAAAACCACCTCAGGTTTCGGTGCAAGGGGTTGCAAAACCGTGAGGGGGGGGCCAGGGGTGCTTTCTGGCAGCGAGGATGAACCTCTGCTTTCATCCTCTTTGGGATGCTACCAGAGGCTGGTACCTCCCGAGAGGTTAGGAACCTCCTGACAAAAGGTCCCTCAAAGCCTTTGATGCACTTGGTGCAGGCTGACAGAGGGAGGCGGCCAGGGTTCCGCTCCGGTAGCGAGGATGGTACCTCTTGCCTTTCCTCGCTGGGAGGATGCAACCTCCTAGGCTGCATCAGCTGGTGGCTCCCTCAGGGGGACCAACTCCCAGCGAGGCTCTTCCATGATGTTGCCGAGGGGTCGTGCTAGCCCATAGTCCGGGGAGGGCAACTCATATAGGACTTTCATGTCAATGAGAGCCTCGACAAACACCATGTCCATGTTCTTTAACTCCCACAGCAACAGGCTTGCCAGCATGGGGATGCTAGCATGGTGGAGGCTGACCCACCTCCTGACTTTGTTGCTTAGGGTGGAGGAGTCTTGGTCGAACCACCGGAAAAAGGAGACGAGCCGGGTTTGGCTGGGGAAACCGTAGTGTTCCCTTGTGCCCCAGTTGGCTACGTCCAGGGACGTTAACCGGTGGTACTTGGGCATTTCCAAGTACCCCCAGTTATGCTCCCCTTGATCTCGGGGATGGAGGTACCCCTCCGGAAGGCGTAGTCCTGACCAGAGGGTTTAGGGTTTCGGGCTATGTAGGCCTCACTGCCAGATGCCATGATGTTCGTTTGAGTGAAAGTGCTGTACTGTCCCTTAAAAACCAATCCCAGAAGTCGAAAATGCCGTACTGTCCCTAAAAAACCTAAAACACCAATTCTGGCGGCCTATACAGACAGGCCCTCTTCCAAAGATTGGTTTTTTAGGGACAGTACAGCACTTTCAACACCTCAGGCCTTCAAAGTGCTGTGCTGTCCCTAAAAACCCAATCTTTGGAAGAGGGCCTCCAGAATTGGTTTTTTATAGGGACAGTACAGCGCTTTGCGGCCTGAGGTGCTGAAGTTGCTGTACTGTCCCTAAAAACCCAATCTTTGGAAGAGACCTGGCTGTACAGGCCCCGAGTATTAGTTTTGTAGGTTTTTAGAGTACAGTTTGAACAGGAAGCAAGCGAATCAATCATATTCAAATATGTCTAAGGACCGTGATTTAGATATGAAGCTTCATTGAATTGATTTAGTTAAGGGTCTACTAACTCAATTAATTTATATGAC